GGCGATAAATAATCTTGATATCGTTGGGGCAATAGGGGGGGGGGGGGTTTCGCTGAGCGGTGCGCGTGTTGAATATTGATGCTGGCTGATTTCAGGAGGTCGATCGGGGCGCAATGAACATCTCTGCGGCTGCTGTTTCGCATCCACATACGTATATCTACGAGAATTTGTACAAAGAGGTATGTTTGGAGTAAAAGAGGAGGGGAGGGGGAGGGGAAAGCCGTACGTTATCTGATATGGCTTTATTCGTTCGCATGCTTCCCGGGTGGTTCTGCTTTTAGCAAAATTCGAAATTCGAACACATTCTTGCCGGTTTATTCAAGCAGCTGATCCCATTTATTATGCATTTTGTGCTGTGTAACAGTTACACAAAACTTATATTGTCACAGGGTTGTCTGTATGTGTATGTGGGTATGTATATGTATGCGTTTGTTTGTCTGTGTGTATGTGTCTGTGTGTCCGATACGTCTTGTTCTAATCCGTACTTCTATGATCGATTTCGGGCAAATTTATACGTGTTTTGTCTGTCTGTATGGATTTCTAGTCGGCAAGATAGAGTAGGCCTGGGAATTGAAGCGTTTTTTAGACAGAATATTGATGTGAGCAATCCCAAACAACTGTTGCTGGGGTGCTTCTGTCGGGATAAGAATAAGTCCACTGAGGGGGGACATTTATAGCTGGGAGTGCGGGATTAAATATGCATTTTTGAAGGCAACATTATTATTATTGGCTGGGAGGAGACAACGCTTCGAATTGGATGATGATTCTCTTTGAAGAGGAAAGATGTAGGCACACTGAGCATTATTTTCTGAGATGTTGAAACAGAAAAATTGATGCTTAGGAATGTGTACGCAGTAGCCGACATGTACAATTTAAATATAAATATTTTATGGTTATGTAAAAGGTTGTAACTAAAAAGAGAAAAGTAAAAGTAAAAAGTAAAAATAAAAAATTTAAACTGAATTGGAACGTTTCGGTCCATTAAGTCGCAATAAAAACCTGGAACTGCTAGTGAGAATGATGTTGAATGGGCGAAAAATTGGATATTTGATTTGGTCTTCAAAAACTGTCGTCGGAAGCTGGCTGACCACGAAGCTATGGAACTGGAAAATTTTTCGTTAGCTGCATTTTGACTGAACAAGATTGGACTTGCAGCTGAACCAGTAAGGTTAATCTGATTGTTGCAGATGAACATACGTGGCAAGGATATGGTACCGGCACATGAAGCAGCTGCGTTCCTGAAGCTATCCTGCTTGAATGTAACAACTTTGGGTCAGGTAAATAACGAGACGATGATTATTTCCAGGAGACTTTTTGTCTAGGCTACGCCTGCATTTTGACCACATTTGTTGAAAAATCATCCATAAACACATTCCTCTTTTGCATATCTGTTCACTTATGAAACTGAGAAATCGTGAAATGCAAAGAGTCCGTCTCATTTTTTATGCATTTTTGGGCTTAAGCCGAAATATAAGCTTCAGTTTTGTTTTCGAAATTTTACGAATTCAAAAAGAGATTTACCTCATTTTCAGATTTGGGAGCTGGCCGACTATAACCGCAAAGGTTGTTTGGATAAAACGGGCGCATTCATTGCTTTCAAACTAATTGCTGCATGCCAACAAGGCCATGCCCCCTCCTGGCAATCGCTATCACTGCAGCTTGATCCACCCTCTTTCGCTTCTCGATCTGCAACCCCATCGATCCCGAATTTCGGTTCAGCCACTTCCGCCAGTCCTAACGGTCATTGGGCGATTGATCCGGTGGAGCAGTCGAAATATGAATCGATCTTCGATGGCCTAGCTCCAGTGGATGGCAAAGTGTCCGGTGATCGGGTAACATTTTTATATTATTTTACAACAAATTGGACAATATAATTGCTTCTACAAGCGTATTTTTGTGGAATAATTAAATTAGACATAGTTAAAATCATTTACTAGCTTATGTATTTCAAATATGATTATAATAAATTAATTTTTATTTCGAATAAATTCTTTAGTTTTATTGGGCTGTTCTCCAATAAGCGTCAAAGATGACGTGTTGCGGTCAAAATACTATGAAAATCGATGGCTATTTTTGGTCTATATCGAATCTTAACATTTTACTTCTTTGGAAAATTTGAGAAAAATCCCCTTGATTGGGCATGTTTTTTGCAGGTGCGACCTGTATTGTTGAATTCCGGACTTCCAAGTGCAGCGCTGGCCAGGATATGGGAATTAGCGGACATGGACAAAGTGAGTGACACGTAACATTTTTGCAATTGACAGACGCTGAATAGTGCAACGATATCACCCTAATTTTACGCCTTTTAAAACAGAATTCCCTCTCTTCCATCCTCTATCTTCACGTCTCTCAATCCCGCTTTGATAAAACGCCAATTAATTTTTTTTGACTTTAAAATTCGTTTTACTTCGGGGCCGTGCAGTATCTCGAATTTAATCTTTGTATCTTTTTTTCGAGCGACTTTTCCCCACCTCCTTTCGTACCCCTCCCAGTACTCCTCCTTTTCCCTTACTTCCCTCTGTCACTGTAACAAATTTTTGTTCACCTCCTTGTTCACTTCATATTTATATACAGCTGTTACTGAAAACTCGACCTTTCATCCAGCGATACATCTAAATCGTTGTTTTTTTTTTCTGGTCAATGGTTTTTGTCATCTCATAATTTCTCACAAATTAGACATTTATTTTAGTATTTTTTTCGGGCATTTTTCATCCTGTTCTTCTGAATCCTACGAATTTTGCTTCACTACTCATTCCCTTCTTTGTGTGCGATCCCCGCGCTTTTATTCAATGATCTGTTGATGTCAGCTGAATTATTCTTCGCTTTTATCTTTGTTCTGTTATGATGTTACAGTCCTTCGTTCATAGACGGTTCAGGACGGTCTCCTTGGGGATTGGGGGAGAGGGGGGG